CAAACAGCTGGAGAGGAGGTGGGCTCCAGGGACCTCATTATCACCTTGAAAAGAGATATAATGGTATCTGCTAAGCTGTAATTGCTGTATGTTGCAGTGCTTTCTTCTCTCTCCTCTGGCTGGTTAAGCTTTTCACTCAGCAGATTGCTCAAGGCAGCCCTGCTGAGCTGCAGGCTCCCATTTACAGAAAGCCACCACCTAAACTGGCCGCTAACCTTCTTAGCATGGTGACCACAGTCCATGAAAAGCATTCGTGTTGTGACATCTCTCGCACAAAATACCACCAGATCGATCACCTTTCCTCTGAGCTTCTGCCATTTTCTTTGCCTGCTCTGTTCTTCCAGGGCAGCTGGGCACACCGGCAGATCCTCACAGCGCTAACTCTGCGTGGGGACGATCTCCCTGTTGCCAGGCTTGGTTACTTCACGGTGCTGTTGCTGTCAGAGCGCTTCCTGCTTTCTCCCTTGCCTACCAGGAGTGACGAGAAGATGGCTGTAATTGTTACACACATGGCTGATGGGAAATGTATGCTAATCTAACCTTAATTAATTTTGTTGCCTTCTTATGCATAACTAGCACACACAGAAAAGTCACAATGGCTTTTGAGTTAAGAAGATGGATGTCCTTTAACCGCTGTTCAGAAAAAAAGAAGATAAAATAAATCCTTTTTCAAAGGTTAATTAGTACCCAAGTGTGGTAAGTGGCAGCTCTAATGTTTTGGTGGCGATGTAACCAGAAAATTTTGTGTTAAGACTGGTGTGTATGTATGTGTGAGCACGTATAATGCAGCAGAGGCTTAAGATAATATTAACAAGATAAGAATATTTAGTTAATGTAAGTTTGAAAACAGAAAATGTGGCTGTTGCCTTGTAAAGTTTCTTTTAACTTTCCTGTATGCACTTTTTCCACTCGGCTCAATTTCACACGGCCGTGCCTCTATTTTGCAGGCACCTGAAGGCGCAAGGATTCTGCAGTGCATTCAGGGGTTAGTAGAGCAAAGGACTGCTTCTTACATGTATCAGGTTTTTACATGCCAGAACCTAGTACGTGTTCCTGCTAACATTACACACCACCTCCTTTTTATCTACCACCCTCTCCCTTGCATAGGTCTGCAGTTGCACGTCATTGCTAAGATGAGGATGACAAAGATTTTAGCAAAGTTCATAAAACTCTGCGGGGACTGGCCCAACCGTCCCCCGCGTACAAGGCACCCCTGCAGCATGCCTGACTCCCTGTATGCCCAGCCATGGACCCTTACAATACCAGACCGCAGCCTCTCCTGGGAGCTACTACAATTCAGTAACTAGCAGTTGTAAAGTTGGGGCAGCAGAGCTGCAAGTATTTTTAGTTTCCTGGAATATTTTTCGGGCTATTTCAAGCAGTCTGTAATCCAAAGTCACTGTATATTATGGCTATCAAAGTCCAGCAGGTGAGGATATAAGTAAACATGACTGGCAAACACTGTTCTTTCTCTTACCAAACCTGCTATGATTGTTCAGGAGCGTAATGAGCATGCCAGTGTCAACAGACCCCACGGACGCAACATTCCAGCCTTCCGTTTTGTAGCTGTGGAATTACTTATAGGGATTACTTATGTCTTTCGAAGAAAGTTTTATAGACTTTATTGGTCGTGCTTTCTCAAATATTATTTGCATATCCTCTTCTAAAAAGGCTGTCATGGTCTTTGCATAAACATTTATTTAATTTTCCTCAGCAGTAATAACATATATATGCTAGTGCAATAATTCGTAAGCAAGGAAAAGATTTGCACGTCCCTATAGAAACACTATTTTCCCATGTTGTACATAGGCAGTAAGATAAAAATTATTAGTTTGTGTCCATCCCCTCTCTGTAAAAAATATCTCATTTATTCAGCGTCGAATTACTTAACAAATCTTCAGTCTGCCCTTCATAGCCTTTATCGCAATTGACATGACGTTAAAAGAGAGGGAACATGGTATCACAACTTTTTGTAGTACTTCAGATTTAAAAAACGTGCTCCTTCATGGAAGGAAGTTATTGAATTAGGCAAATGGAAGCATTAAAATATTTACCTTGTGAAAAATTCATGCAGTGACTCATACTCTTTTATTAAGTTCTATTGGTTTGTTTCTTTTTCAGGAAATTTGCTTTTTAACTTTGCTGAATGCAAAAACAAAAGAAGAGAACGCAGTATTTTGCTATTTAACACCATATTATTTTTCAATAGCAATCATTTTTGCCAGCAGTTCAAAACTGCTCTATATATGAGAAGAAATGTCAGACACATATGCGGAGAGTTGACACTATCTGATAGAGGCTTTTTTTTTTTAAATTTCAGCACATTAGTCTCCTCTAGCTATAAAAAACCTGTAAAATACAATAAAGCTGCGGGATGCTGATACACTAGCTTTTCAACTCTTGTCCCCCTCATCGTTTTCTGTTTCCCCATAACTACACACTTTTACGCAGCTGGACTGTTGTACAAGTGCTGTGTTTAGTAAACAAAACAGAATAAAACATCAGTAAAGCTATTTAGAAAAGGAAACTAAGAAAAAACCTATCGTTGACCACCATTTTGAGAGCTGAGCAGCAGCGTGTTCTTACCGTAGTAACTGAGTTTAGAAACGGATATAGTACAATCCCATCAGTTGTGGATTTAGTTGAACTGTCTTCTATTTTTAATTAATTTCTGTCAACTTTGTCAGTTTCAAACTCCTTGGCTAGTTTCACTCCAATTTGACAAGACAGTATTAGAAACACTAAGCTCGTGCAAGTATCTAACAAGAAAAGCTCCATTAGGTAAAAAAATTGAAAAGTATCTAAATGCCTTCCTCCGCTGTGGGAAAAGCAGCGAGAAAATTATTTTCAAACAAACCGACTGGGGCAAGGTCCAGGCCACACAGCAGGTACATACCAGCCAGTCAAGTCAGCACATGTGCAGCTCCAGCCCAGCCACAACACATGACAGCTCTTTCCATCCCACAGGCCAGAAATAAGGCATGAAATGAGGATGGCGAGGGTGGAAAGAGGAGGAGGAGAGGAAACAATAGCATTATTATCTCGAGGAGAAGAAAGGAATGGCAAGGATACCATATTGCAGGCATTAAAGAAAACATAGGATACGGAGAGCAAAGAATTGGGGAAGACAATAATACACGTGACTTGGCAAAAGGCAAGCTTGCTGAAATCTTCAGCTTTAACAGCTTACAGAACTGTATGAAATTCAGCATACTTCAGCAGACCGCCTGCAGACCTGGGAAGAAAGGGAGTGGCATATATTGGCAGAGGGAGAGGTTGCCCTACAGAAGTCATCACTGAAAAAGCCCTGAAAAGGCTGCAAAGCACTCCAATAAATTCCCTACTTCATGATTTTTGTGCAGAGCAGCAACTTCTCAGAGCAAATCAGTGCGCGTGTCTCCATGTCCCAAAACATCCTGCAGACTTCACCGAAATCTGGTAAAACCTGGGTGCCGCAGCAGCTCAGCACTCACAGCTAAGTTCGTAGCATCAGATGCTGGAAGACCCAAGGAGCAGTCGCTGCCTACATTTAACATCCAACCCAGCAACAGACACGTGTCAGCTACTGCCTTGTTCCATGGCAGAAGGTGTACTGGTGGCCCGTGACAGTGGCAGTCCATTCACCACAGCCGAGTAACTCCAGTGTTGTATTTAGCAGATGCACACAAGCTCTCTAATGGTTTTTTTACTGGTTTAAATGGGGTTCTGATGGCTAAATTTCACATTTAAGTTTATGAACACAGTATGTAGAATATCCTCTCAGTAGTTTACCCTACTTCTCCTGTTTAAGGGAGGGTGGTCAAAACAGACACCACATGAGTAATAAGATTTATTATTCAGTTCCTTATCTTGTATCTAATTATTTCTCTGGCAACAGGAGTTACAGCATTTCCTTTACAAATCAGATATGCTGGAGGGACTATACATGCTTACTTGCTAGCCAGCATATATTACCGATTACTGGCTGCCAAAGCAAGCTCTTTTATCCAAAGCTCTGGGAGGTAGATAGCCTAAGTTCGGTCAGCCTTCATGACAGTAAACAGTAATAACAGCAGAAACAGCTTCTAGCTGCGCAACAACCTCTTCGCAATGAATAGCAATGCAAACCAGGGTAATGGTGTAACGTTACGGCTCCGCTGCCAGATGCCAAGTCTACCCACCCCCAACCCCACACCAGACAGGTTCCAGATTATTTGTAATAAACCAAGCCTCTACTTAGGTAGCATTTGAAAGAGCAGTCTATGAATTCCTGAAATTGCTACATTCACAGCACATTTTTTAGACAAACAATCCATATTTTATTTACTCCTGTTGCACATTAAGAGTGGAAAATAGGATAAAGCATACTTCTTACAGCTTTAAGAAAATAATCATACTATTGAGATATTAGATGGCTAGTACAAACTTTGTTAATAGGAGTTCTAGAGTATTTTCACCCATGCCGAGCTTGCTTGCTTCAAGGAAATATTACACTGCTGAACTTGTAAGCACAGTAACTTAGCAGATCATCATCATTTCAACATGGAAGATTCAGAAGCCTGTTTCAAAGTTTTATTAATTCAAGTCATAAAAAAAGTTACAGTAACTTCAAATATGTACAAACAGCCATAAAAACATCACATCTGGTTATATGGGAGACAGTCCTGTTACAACATGTCTACAAAAATCATTATTTTCAATAAACCTCCCACACGGGTAAAATAACCATTTAAGCATGTATGCTCCAAAACCTAGTAACAACAGCTGTCAACTCTTTTATCATCTTAAAAAAAAGTAAAATCAGGGAGCAATAGTTAAGTTTGACTTGAGCAAGATGGGGCATTTAAGATTCAACTCTCAACAAACAGTAAAAGTAGTAGCATGGTTACCAGTCTTGGCTGTTAGGACAATCATTAAGTGAGCACAGTTGCCTCCCTTTCAGGAGGAATCTTTTAAGCTCCATGCCTCCAATGTTTCTTCGTCATCTTGTTTGAATCTTACTCTGTCTTCAGCTGATTTAATTACGCATTCAGCCCTCTATGCATTTCATTCATTTCCTTTACCTGGAGGGGAGGAGGTAGAGGGAGATCATCATTTGTGTTACTTCTCAACATGAGACCCGAGAAGTCAATAGGACTTAACAACCCAGATTTTCATTAGCAAAGGGATTTGATGTAACACTAACAGAATCAAACATGCCAAGATCATTGCAACACTTCAGACTTCTTTAGTTGCTATTTTAAAAAACCCACAGCACTCTTTCCGGTGTGTGCAGAGAGTGGACTTCACTATTTAGCTACAGCACCCTTTGGATTGCCTTACAAAAGGCTCTACACTTGGGGTGAAGCACCGTTTGTTACTAAATCATTGGAAAGTAGCTCTTCAACAGAAGCTGCAAGCTCCCTGGAAATACCTCAAGTAAAGGTCTTAATGACAGAACAAGACTATCAGTATTTCCTGTGGATTGTATAGCCCTTGCTATAGACATGCAAACACAGTACTTGCTGTCAGCACTGCCCCCCACCCCCCAGGACAGATCACCAGTTGCCTTTGAAACTATAGCAGAACCAACAGGGTGAATCAACTGTACAGAGAACAAAACTAGTTACAGAATTTGAATACTTTCAGTCTCCTGAACACATCTGAGGCACCCAAAGCAAGCATTTAGCAAACTACAGCAAATTTAGGAGTTTCTGGATTCCGGCCAACCTCCTCCCTGCACATACACCATAAACAGAAATTAATTACCTCTGCTTTCACATACTTCCCCTTCCTCCTCCTTGTGAAGACCTGTAAGAGAATGACAAAGTAATTGTTAAGTTCTATTTAAGTCTCTTGCATCTAACTTTATCTGGTTGTGACTTTGAAACTCCAAACTCGAAGCTGTTCCTTCCCCATCCTTCCAAAGCAAAGCACTTGAGACTATCACTCTCAACTACTTTAAACCAGGAGGCAAGACTGGTACTTTTCTCATCTCAGTGAGTTTTTCCCCAATACTCCTGTTTTCCACCCAACACCCTTCAGTCATAACCTGAAACAGCGATGGTATGTCCATCACCTCTTTCCCAGCTCCCAAGTCTCAAAAAAGAAGCCAGTTTACAGAGAAAGACTGTTTCTCTCAGGGTCCAGTTACCCTGGTACGCAGTTATTTCCCACATTATGCTGTTACCCATCCTGCTTCATAGCGTTGTTAGAACTTACCAAAACAACAACTCCAGCAACTATTGCCACTACTATTATTACAATGACAGCAATGAGGCCAGGAGTCAGAGACTTCATGGAAAATTCCGGTGCTATTTCATCAACATAGTAGACCACAGTCTTCTCAAAATGCAGCATTTCATTATCAATACTGACATTTAGCTTGCTATTATGAAAGATGGAGTCACCTTTTACCTATGAACAGATAGGAAAAAAGAGACTTGCTAGTTCATACTGTAACAGGCATTCATCTAGGCACTGCAATAATTCATCTTGCTTTAGCCAGTAAAACTACTCAATGCAAGGCAACAGAGACATCTGGTCTTTGGCAGGCTTTACCCACGACACACTTACATCTTTTTCAAAGTAGTAGGCCACATCAGCTATATCCACCCCTCCAGGAGATTTGTCTGAGGTATTTTGCTTCAAGTCAATGGTAATGTAAGGTTTTTCATACTGGAAAAAAAAAAAAAGCTATTAAGAAGGGCTAGTTTAAAATCCAACTATCAAATATACAGCGAAATACTGCAATCCAACTTGTGAACTCACATCCTCAATCAAGTTTCTTGTACTTGTTCTCAAGCCAACTGTTTACAGTAAGATTCAAAATCCACTTTTTTAGTGAAGAACAGTAAGAATTCATCTATAGACTGAGAAGAACAATATGCAGTTTCTCAGTATTCCAGTTCATATACAGCTATTTGCCAGCTGCTCAATAAGCAACACTTCTGAGAACTTCTCATAAGGCTCATGCCGTTCTGCATTCGTCAAACAAGCTTTCACAGTTATTCACAACGAATTAACATTCCAATACTTTACTAAAAATTATGTGCCTCTTACCACAACACTACTTATATAGCGTCCATCCAGCATGTAACGCTTGGTAATTGTTTCCTTGAAGAACCTGCAGAGATATTAAAGCCATAGCTGATAAAACAGTACTATTTTACACCTCTGTTTTCAGAAGCAGGGAAGCCTAGTATAAATGCTTTTTTCCCTGCAGTCTCTCTGCGGTGGGTTGATCCCAGCTGGCAGCTAAACCCCCACCAAGTCTCACTCACTTCCCCTTAGCAGGACTAGGAAGAGAATCAGAGGGGTAAAAGCAAGAAAAAACCCAGAACCCTCATGGGTCAAGATAAAGACAGTTCAGTAAGTGAAAGGGTTAATAAGTGAAAGGGTTGGGTGGGGGGAATAAAAAACCCCAAGTGATGCAAAAGCAATCACTCACCACTAGCAGACAGATGCCCAACTAATCTCCAAACAATGGCTACTTGGGAAAAGCTTCTCCCCAGATTTCTTGTGGAGCATGACATTATACAATACGGGATCTCTCTTTGGTCAGTTCTGGTCTGCTGTGTCCCCTTCACAACCTCTCGCCTGCTCCCAAACTACTCACTGGGGCAGCAGAGCAAGAGTCTGAGAAGGCCTTGACACCATGTAAGCACCGTTCAGCAACAGCTAAAATACTGGTGAACTTATCGACACTGCTTTGGTCACCAGACTAAAACACAGCGCCATACCGACTGCTGCCAAGAAAATTAACTCCATGCCAACCAAAACCAGTACACTCTCCTTATTAAATTACACTAGAGCTCTGCTAATTCCTAACAGCAGAAGATGCACTTACTGAAAAACGCATTACTCCAGTGTTAGAGAGGAGAGTTTGAACAGTTTTGAGAGAGTTCAGAAGAGGAGCTAGAGAGTAGCACCTTTTGTTCGGGGGGGTGAGATCCAATAGCTACAATCACATTTTTCTTGCTATATGCCCTCTGACAGAAAGAAGTAGGACTTTATTTTAGCCAGAAAATAGCTAAACTTTTGTTTTTCTCTTGCTGCTTCTATGCAGCCCCTCCACCATCTCCGTCAGTTTACTTTTTGGGCGGTTTCAACTTTCACTTCCATTTCCTTCAGTATATTGACTTGATAAAAAAAAGTAATCGATTTTTAAAGAAAGTGAATCTCCTTAGCAGTTAATTTACTTCCAATAAAAATTAAAGCAATTCTTTGAATGATCTGTAGGTCACTTCTAAAATGTCTTACAAACTAGTTCACAGGTTTGACAATGCTTTCAAATAACTGTGTAGAAATACACTAAATATCTAGTAGCGCATGCAGACATTACCATGACATCCTACTATCATCACTTACTTCTCTAAAGATCGAGTGTTCAGAGGAGCATTTCTCTCAGCATGTTTCATTTCAATGATGATCCACCTGAAGTAACAGGCAGTACAATTAATATTCTTAAAGCATGTGCATGTAACAACACATACTAAAAACCTAACCCCAGGGAAAAAAAACAGAGCAGTCAGAGCAAAACAAAGCAAACCCCCTCCAAAACCCTTCAACATCTTTGAAGAAAGAAAAAAAGCAGTAATCAAGTGTTTATTGCGCTGTCTTCATTAATTCCCAGCTTTTGGTAAGTTGTGTCTTTCATACAGATAAATCTTCTACAAGGCAAAACCTAACACTGGAATGTTTTCATGTCAGAGCACACCCTGTCAAAAGACTTACGTCGTTCTGACTAACTGATTGCACTTCAAGTCTGCATCGTGTTTGTCAGTTCTTCGAACACCAGCTGTATTCACACACCAGCAGGTGGTTCCATTGCACTGCTTCGCCTTGAAAACACCAGTATTTTCACACTCGGGATCATAAAGGCCATCAGTATCTTCAAATGCATCTTTTGGTTTCTCGCGACGACCCGATTTGGAGCCTGTCATTTCTGCTTTCATCAACAGGCATTTTGAAGTCACTAAAAACCACCAGAAAAGTCACGTTACACAGCATCAGACCATGCATGTTCAAAACAGAGCTCTTCGTCTGTAAAAACACCAGGTTACATCAGAGGCAACCAGATGTGAAGCCATTACAGGGCAGAGCGGGTGCCTAACGCGCAGGCAGGGCACAGCCAACACAACTACGGTGCGTCAGCTTCTCCAGCCAAACGCGTGAGAAGTCCAGCCACCTTCCATTTCGCACAGCGAGAGGATCGTTTACAGCTTAGCTGGGCTCGAATCAAGAGTAAGGTCCCGAGACAAGGCTCTTTCACTGCTGGATTTGTAGGAAGTCACGATATGTGCTTACGAGGAACTTCAAAATCAATCTTTGAGAAGTCCTTGCTGTTAAGAGACAGCATTTTAGGGAATACAGGAGAGGCCGCTTCAGTGTAAGCGTACACATATCCACACAAGTCACACAGGAGGAACCCTCAGGGCTTCTCCTCCATTGCCAGTTGACCTGGAAGACTAGGGAGAAGCTCTCCTTCCTTGCTACCAATATTTGCCAGGAACTCAATGGCCATTTTCACGTATTCCCTCGAATTTAGTCTGCACTCTTCCTCACCGCCCCGTACCAGAGATCACGCTGGGGCCACGCACAGCCGACATGCGTGTTTTCATACAATCATAGAATAGAATCATAGAATCATTAAGGTTCGAAAAGACCTCTAAGCTCATTGAGTCAAACCATCCACCCAACACCACCATTCCTACTAAACCATACCCCAAAGTGACATATCTACATGTTTTTTAAACAGCTCCAGGGATGGGGACTCAGCCACCACCCTGGGCAGCCTATTCCAGTGCCTGACCATTCTTTCCATAAATGAGTTCATTCCCATTAAAAACATGCCTTTATTAGGTTTGTGGATGTTTCTTGTATAAATCAGACCTTAGAACCTCTGAAGGGCTCTAAGATGCACAAAGGAAAAATAATGCTTATCTTTTTTCCTGAATTTTTTTCCTCCACTAAGTTACCCAACAGCACATTGATCTATCCTATAAGGCACTGTTTCTGCAGTCTTTGGGCATCTCACAATGCACCTGAGAAACAGAACAATTTTCTTTCCAGTTTACATACAGGGAGGTGAGCTGGAGAGCAGACCTCAGCCCTCACCTTACTTGAGCTGGGTCCTGCATTTAGCTCACCAGCCACTAACCCATGAACTGCACTTCTCTTGCCGTGTAGCTCTCTCCCTGCTCCTGTTATACACGTGGCTTAGCCCTAAAGAAGACACAAAATCTCTGACAACACCATGGGGCCAGGACACCCACATCTCTGGTTCACCTTAAGACTGTGGACAGACCAGAGCATCTCCTGCTCCCTCCATTCACCAGGATTTTCTTCCAAAGAAATAAAAGTAATATGGCATCCCTGGGTCTTAGCCTGACTTGCAGTCTGGAGACCATCCCAGGACCTTCATGTCTCCTACAAGGAAAGGCTGAGAGAGTTGAGGCTGTTCAGCCTGAAGCAGAGAAGGCTGCAGGGAGACCTTATTGTAGTCTTCCAGTACTTAAAGGGGGTTTATGAGAAAGATGGGGACCGACTTTTTAGCATGGACTGCTGTGATAGGACAAGGGGAATGTTTTTAAACTAAAAGAGGGTAGATTCAGACTGCATAAAAGGAAGAAATTTTTTTACATTGAGGGTGGTGAGGCATTGGCACAGGTTGTCCAGAGAGGTGGTCGATGCCCCATCCCTGGAAACGTTCAAGGCCAGGCTGGACAGGGCTCTGAGCAACTTGATCTGATTGAAGATGTCCCTGCTCACTGCAGGGGGGTTGGACTAGATGACCTCTAAAGGTCTCTTCCAACGCAAAGCATTCTATGATTCTACAGCAGGAGGAAATGGCCTGAAGTTGTGCCAGAGGAGGTCTAGACTGTATATTAGGAAAAATTTCTTCACCAGTATGGTTGTCAAGCACTAGAACAGGCTGCCTGGGGAAGTGGTGGAGTCACCATCCCTGGAGGTGTTTAAAAGACTTGTAGATGTGGTGCTTAGGGACATGATTTAGGGGTGGACTTGGCAGTGTTAGGTTTACAGTTGGACTCAATGATCTTAAAAGTCCTTTTCAACCTAAATGATTCTATGATTCTATGAGGCCCCCAGGCCTCTGCCCTGGCCCCGCGGCCGCCGGGCCCGCCCGCGCCTGCTTTCCCTCAGGGCAGGGGCCGGGGGCGTTTTCTCCACCTTCCGCGGGAAGTGGGTCACGGGCCAGGCCTGCGATCAGCTCCCGGCCAGCGGAGAGCCAGTAATAAATATTCCCGCTTCAAGGTTCGCTTTGTTCGTGTCCGCTCATGCCCTTTGAACTACTCCGTGGGGACTTGGTGTTTAACACAAATCTTGATCATCTCTCAGTTAACTGAAGAAAAAACAGAACACCTGTCCGTATAGAATAAACTGTTTCTTAAGGATCTTTGTGCTGTGCGTTTGGTTTTTTCTTTCTTTGTCTAAAATACACGCTAGGTCGCTCTACCTTAGGGCTGCTCTGAAGGGAGTCGCTTCGGGTGCCGTGGTAGCTGCGCTTCCTTGTTGAGGAAATGCAGTCTTGGGCGCTTTGTCTCCCAGCAGCACGGCTCTGGGGGAACCTACGAAACGGTAGGCACTGCCAGAGCCCTGCAAGGTGGCAGAGGACTCAACGCAGGAAAGCCTGCTGCAAGTTTTAAAATGGCTTTCCGCAGTGTAAAAGCAAGGCCAAAATGGAAGGCAAAAGATAGGTACGATACACTGAAAATGTCTTCTGAAGCTTTTATTACTTCAGTTAAAAAAAATATGCATAGATCTTTCCCAAAGATACGTTAATGTCCTAGAAAAACAAGTTACTGTAGCAGAGGAGAAAACCAGAATGAGATCCCTCTAAGTCTGTTCCGGCATTTACGAGAAATCGACAGCATTTCCAGACTTCCTCTTAACCAGTGTTCACATTTGCTGTACAATAAAAACACGTCGCCGCTTTTGTGTATGCAGACCTCAGTTAATGGAACTGTTTGAAACCTTTGCATGTTCTGAGATGTAAGTGCGGGTTAGCTGTCTCTGTGGTTTTGCCTCTGTGCGCAGCTGTGTTTGTGTTGTATCTTTGGTTTTGTATTCACTGTTGTCTACAGTGCTCTGCTGAAACCAGGCAGGTGCTGTCTCAGGTGGGTCTGAGTTAAATGACTGTGTTTTGAGTCTGCTGGTACAGTCTGAATTAGAGTTTTGCAGCATTTATCTTGATTCTTCTTGTGGTTTTGGGTGGCTTCTTAATACTCTTCTGATACACTTGTCAAAGACTCAAAAGAAGAGCATGATCTTAGCCATGTGAAGACTTTAAAGTCTCAGGTGTGGGCTTTTTACATTGCTGCTGTCAAATGATGTCATTCTTTAAAAAGATGCGCAGGATCAATGGGCTCAGAAATGCCTGCCTTATTGTAGAGCTCATTTTCTATGTAAATGTACCAATGAGAAGAGTTACCCTGTCCTTATCAAATCGCCAAGCTGAACTACATAAACTTTGATACTAAGGAACAGTAAATTTTATGATAGGCTTTTGTCTCTTTCCTTTAATATGTAAATGCGGAAGAACAGAACAGGGTAATCCTCCTTGTTCCCCGGGCCTGTGATCAGTGTAGGTAAACCTCTGTGCCTAGTTTTAAAAATCCCAGCCTTAGTCTGTAGTCTTGAAACCTCACAGTGGCTACTACTGATAGTAGCACTGCTTCTTCAACCACCTCTAAATACCAGACAGGTCTTTGTTGTCAGTATACAAAAAATAGCTGTAACCTTTAGTGTCTGAGGGTTGAACGGTCTCGGGGTCTTTGCGTGGACTAAGGAAGGCTGTTACAGTGTGTTTTGGGTTTTTGTTATGACACGTTATGTTTTCCCTGAACTGTTAGTTACCACCTGTAGAAAGCCATACCATAACTGTGGTGCACAGAGAAGTGCTTCATGTTGCTGTTTGTAGTATAGCATTTAAATTGGCTCCAATTTGCAGGAGGTAATAAAGAGCTCATTATTTATAATTTCCCCAGATTTTGATATCTGAAGAAATTCTTGTTTAAATGTTGCTCAGTATTTTAGAAGCAGAGAGAGTTGCTCTACACAACGCCATTCTCCACCAAAGCAATGGAAATGAGGGACCATTCACAACAGTGTTAATCTTTCCTTCTTTCCAGGTTATTTGGAGGGAAACTTCTCCGTAGAATCAAAGCCAGGGGAGCAGGTGTGTGGTTAAAAAGATAAAAGGGCCCAAGTATTGAAGTAGCTTCATTACACATATGCCTCGGTGTCTAGGGGGTCGGAAGGCAATGTCTTTTTTTGTACCTTTTGTCGCAAGACATAACTCTTTGTGCTGGAATATGTGGCCTTATTCAGTGGCTATTCTATATTAACCCTCCTCAATGTACAGCTCTAAAAGTAAGGCCTTGATTATTGGTTATAAAGAGGATAATTTTGTCAACTGTTGGCGTACCTCCTCTTATCAAATAGCTGAATGCTGATTAGGCAGTGCAGTGTAGGCTAGTTGTGGTTTACACTTATTAAACATAATTACAGCTCAGACAAATTATAATTTAAATGCTATGAGTACATTATTGGCTCTATCATATAGAGAAAATTAAAAAAAAAAAAGTTTTGATCACCAGGTTCTAGAGAATATGTAAACCTAGGTTTGGAAAACTCATGTATTTTTCAACTTTTGCTCTGTAATTTACATCTGCTTCAGATCTGTTTGGAGAATAAAGTTCAGTTTGCTGAAGTATTCCAGAGCCACTGATGCCAGTGGGAGATTTTCTGTTGGCTTCAGTGAACTGTGGATCTGATCCGAGGAGATAAATCCAGCTCTTTCTAAAGTCAGTAAGAATTAGTGCGATACTGGGATCTGGCCTAGGTCGTTACCAGGTCATTTCCAGGTCTTCCTTAGAAATTGGGTAAGTGGGCTTGTGATACTCCCCAGGAGCAGAAGGACAAAATCTGCTTTCAGGGAAAGTTGTGAGGATGCATGAGTCACTCCTGAAGTATCAGGAAATGAGTCAAGGTGGGGCTGTGACATGCAGTGTGGTCAGCAGATCGGGGAGATGAGTGGAGAGAGCATGATCAGTGCCACTGGAGCGTTTGGCAATCTAGCTCGAACTGAGATTCTTCCAAGGCCGCAAACCTGATTGGTTTGGGATGTACCCTTCTGAAGATATCCAAAGTCTCATCCTTAGAAAATAGGTCATGTGTTATACCAAATTGCAAAACATAGGCTTACTAGTGTTTTCCGAAGAAAATGAATGGCTTTTGAAAATTCGTGATGACTTTTAACTGGTTAAGGCTGACAAAGTTAGAAACAACCAGAAACAGTCTTACGCTCAAAAGTGCCAACAGGTTTTTTGGACAGTAGATGTTGCTATATACATTATCTCTGTTACAGACTTGCTCAGGAGCTTCTGATTAGGACAGTTTTAGAATGTTTGTGTTCAGCTTTTTTGGCAGACTGTACCATCTGCATAGAATGAAGCCTTCAAAGGACTGTAGGAAGAGGATAATATTGAAGAATTATATATACAGTGTCTTGTCCATGATGTGTTTCTGATGATTCCATCCCTTCACAAATCAATATGTGCTGCTGCTTAAGGAAGTGTAAGAGAAC